ACCTTGTGTCACTGGGGTTGTCACTTTAGTATCACTGTCTGCCCCTTCTTCCATCCCCCGAGGAGCTTGGCTGCCTCTTAGGTGTGCCTTAAAGTTCTCAGTCATTGCTTTGAGGGTTTAGGGACCAATGATCCAGAAACCAATGAAGGAAAGTTTCCTCTAGGAGCCAAGGGAGAGGGGCTGTCCTGTTGCTGAAAGGAGCCATCAGATGTCCTCCCTCTATGGTCACCCAAGACCTTCATCCTATCACAGGCACAGGCAACCCCAGGCCCACATCCTGGTATTTCCAGCCCAGAGAGCAGCAACCGTGGGCCCATGACAGCTGGAGGTATCAGCACAGCAACCTCAGCCCTGCCTCCCTTGGCTCTGCCATGGCCGATGGTAATTTGAAGACATCTCCACAGCCCAATCAGGGACCACTCCCACCCCTCCTAAATCCTTCTACTCTTTTCCTTCTTTCAGGGAATGGAGGAGGGGTCATGTGAACGTCATCGGATTTGGGGGGAAATGGGAGGGGGAGGGAGAAGTGGATGATGACAAAGACCAGTCTGTAGGGTTAAAGGAGTGATGCTGGAAGATTTAAAGATGAAGGATCAGATGCGTCAGGCTTCCAGCTGTTAGGGGGCAGTGTGTCTGTGTGTGCCTGTGTGTGGCGGTGATAGAGACAGACAGATGGATGTGAGACGGAAATGAGTGATGAAGCAGATGGGGTGAGAGGTGGGGAGGGGGAAGAGACAGGGAGAACACTAAGAGTTTAAAAAAAAAAAAATGCACCCAAACCTGGCCAAACAGTATTTCAGCAAACATTTCTAAAACAGACCCAAGGAACTGCTAATTTTAATAAAAGACTTCTCCGTCTAGTACAGGAAGTCCCCCAAAGCAGAAGGCTTATATTTGTGGATGTTACAATATGCATCCATCATTTTATGAACCCTCACCCAAGGATATTTTTTTCATTGATTTTTCAGAGACTGGAAGGTTGGAAGGGAAGGAGGAAGAGGGAGAGGGAGAGAGAAACATTGATGTGAGAGAGACACATCGATTGGTTGTCTTCTGAATGTGCTCCTACCAGGGCCAGGGATCTAGCCTGCAACCCAGGTACGTGCCCTTGACCAGGAATCGAATCCATCATTTTAGAACAATGTAATTAACTTACCAACCTGTGATTGTCCTGAGATCAATACCCAGTCTTAGAAAGTAAGGGGCCTAAATTCTGCATTCATGTTTAACTTACATCTGAAGTTTGGCTGAAGGCAGTGGGAAAGCCCCTGAGCAGTAAAGAAGTCCAGCACCTTGAAATTCCCCTTCAAAGGCACCTGCACTGCCCAGGCAGCTATGAGCATGGCCACATCTTGTGACTGCTTTCCAAGTCGGACCCCAGGGGCAACCAGAAGCCCAGAGGAGACTTCTGATTTTCATTTCCAGAGTATGGGGGCGGGGGAGAGTATTGGCAAGTGAATGAGCCTTCCCAGGGAGGGCATTCCGCCAGTCCTGGCTGTTATAGAGGCTGGACTGAGGAGGGCAGGCTGTCCCTCGTAGCACCCTTAGAAGGATGATGCTGGAATCCAGGTGAGCTTGGTTCCTGCCTAGCAGGAGGCTGAGTAATGAGAGGGCATTACTATTTGCTGAATGAACTGGGTCATCATCCTTAGCAAGGGCCTAAGGTGTGACCTCAGTGGCCTGTGGCTGGAGCTGCCACACAATGGCTCTTGCAGATGAGCCAAAAGGGGCCCAGGCCCCATGGAAATTGGGCCAGAGAGCTCCTGCCTGAACCAGTGAAAGCATTGTTTCTGCAAGTCACCCTCAATCCTAAACCAAGAGGCTTCGCTCTACTTGTTACCTATGTGACCTTGGGCAAGACCCTTCTCCTTTCTCCATGCCTCAGTTTCCTTGGCACAGGTCATATGTACCTCTTGATTGGTGTGAGAGCTCAATAAGAGCTGGAAAATGCTTAGAATAGTGCCTCCAATCCTGGTTAGACATAAATTACAGTCTCCCAGTACTTTCTGGGAATCTCCTTTGGACAAAGCAACAAAGTTCCCTGGGAGGGCAATAGTCAGGAGCTCAAATAGAAGACAGACTTACACACACAGGCAGCCCCATCAGACTGATGTATCCTGCATCAGTCACTCCTGGTGTCACTTCTGCTCTGGACAAAAAGCTCAGACTAATGGCAAATTGAGTCCTAACCACTGCCTGCCCCTCAGCCTCTTCAACACCTGCCCAGAGGGCCCATCCTCAGCACCTGAAGGCCAACCCCAGGCAGTGGGAACAAAAGCCCACTTGCATTGCTGGGCTTTCCATTGTTTTCAGAAGCTTCTGGCTGTCTTTCAGGCAGGGCTGTGATGAATGACTCCCTTCTTCTTTCCAAGACTGTGATTAAAGGCATTTACCACTGGGCCCAGCGCGGTGTGGCTTGGGGTGTGGGGGGCAGCCAGCTGGAAGTAACCAGCAGGCTCTTCATAATTACAAAGGTAGGAAGTGGGGTGCAAGGAGAGCTGTGCTTTTCTGTGTTGGAGTCTTCCTAGTATGGTGAGGCCAGGGTGAGGCCAGAATTTCAGGGCCAAGGGAGACCCTTGAAAACCAACTTCATGGGTTTGTCACAAATGACTTACATGCTCTGCTCATGACTTCCAGGCAATGCTTCCTTTCTCCCTCCCCTCCC